ATTTCACGTCATATCCTGTAGAACCATACATCTTACCAACAATACAATGTTATAACTGCTGTCGTTTCGGTCATGTTAAGTCTAAATGCCGATCCAAGCCTCGTTGTTATAAATGTGGACAACCACATGATGAAGAATCATGTGAAGTTACCTCGGTCACATGTCTTCACTGTTCTGGTAATCATACAGCTATTAGTTCATCCTGTCCAGAATTTAATAGACAAAAATCTATTAAAGTAATTATGTCCCAAGAACATATCTCTTATGACGAAGCATCTGTAAGAGTCCGCCCATCCAAACGAGGCTATTCCGACATTGCAAGCAAAACTCCTTTAAATCCATCTCCTAATACGAGTAATAAGAATTCATATAAAAAAACTTTCTATATAAATAGGAAACCACGATCTCCAGCATCCGATCATGGATATGACCATACAGCCCATGAATCCATGATCCAAACCCCAAGAAGTTCTCTTCCTAATGGAAATGCTTACCCTAAAGATAATGAGCAAAACCATACTTCTCCAAATGAAAATTTAATAGACTTACTGATATCCACACTTATGTGTATCATTTCGAAATTTGACGACCACTGTTTACCTCCAAATTTAACCCAGTCTCTTGAGAAACTATCGACGCTCTTAAATAATATAAATAAGCATGGCTACGATTCTTCAATGGAACTGTCGCAGTATTAAGCATAAAAAAGGCGATTTAATCTATCTTATCAACAAATACAACCCGTTTCTTGTAGCATTATCAGAAGTTTGGCTTCACCCAAAATCTCACTTCCGTATTCCTGGTTTTGCCTGCCTTCGCGAAGACAGGAAAGATGGTTACGCCGGTGCTGTAATCCTAATTAATAGATTACATTCATTTATCAAGGTTTCACTTCCTCAACATAGTGAGGAATTAAACGTTGTTGCTTGCAAATGTAATGATATCACATACCTGTCTTTCTATATCCCTCACCCACATCCATCACTGATCACTGAATTAAACTTAATAATTTCATCTATTACTCCTCCTTTTATATTACTAGGTGATTTTAATGCTCACCATGTCTCATGGGGCTCATGCAGAAATGATACTTTTGGCTATCTCTTAATGGAATTGTTTGATGAATTTAATATTTGCATTTTAAATGATGGATCACCAACAAGGAGAGTATATCCATCTCAAAATCCTAAAAGTGTTGTTGATCTAACTTTATGTACCCCAAATCTTACATCACGTATTAACTGGAAAGTTTTATCTCACTCTTATGGTAGTGATCATTACCCAATATTACTTTCATTAGCCAACTGCTCAATACCAATCAGAGTTTTTTCGCCGCTGTTAAAATATAATATAAAAAGAGCGGACTGGGCTAAATTCTCATCGTTATCAGATTCGGTACTCTCTAAATTTTATAACAGTGACTCTAATGATATAGAGACAAACTACAAAAACTTTGTTAAGTATCTTTTACTCACCGCAGATTCATGTTTCACACGAAAAATTTCGCCTCCTACCAAAATTTGTTCTCCCCCATGGTGGGATGAGGAATGCACACTCAGTGTTAAAAAACGAAAACAAGCTGAACGTCTATACTCCTCCAATATGTCTAATGAAAACTTTTTAAATTATAAAAAAATAGCTGCCCATACATTAAAACTGTTAGCACATAAAAAAAAGACGGGTTGGCTTAGGTTTTGTGAAAATCTTTCACCCCGCTCTCCTGCTTCTATATTATGGAAGAATATAAAGAAATTCCGCGGATCATATAACGTTGATAATTATTCACCGCAATGTGATTCCTCTATTTGGTACAATTTATTTGCCGATAAGCTTGCTCCTCCTTGGGTTCCCTCCTTTGAGGAATTATGTTATTGTGAACCATTGATAACCCAACCTGGAGTAAACATTAATAATTCACGTTTTAATGAACTTTTCTCCAATGAAGAATTTGAATTGGTTGTTCAACACCTTAAAGATTCGTCACCAGGTATAGACGGAATTCCATACTCATTTATTTCTAACGCAGGATCAAAATCTAAGCAAATTTTTCTAGACTTAATCAATGACATATTTATTACGGGAATAGTCCCTAATGATTGGAAAATGCAAATTATTATCCCCATCTTAAAACCAGACAAAAATCCTAGTGATGGTAATAGTTACCGCCCTATAGCACTATCATCAACTTTGTGCAAAATAATGGAGCATTTAATTAAAAACCGTCTAGAATGGTTTGTTTAAAATAAAGGTCTCTTGGCCAAAACACAGTTTGGATTTCGAAAGGGACTGAGCACGCTTGATAGCTTGTCTGTTTTTACCTCTGATATACGTTCGGCTTTTTCCAGAGAAGAATCGGTTGGTGCTGTTTTTCTAGATGTATCATCAGCCTATGATAACGTTGTCCTCCCTTTACTCAAAGAAAAGATGTTTCTTTTGGATATTCCCCATAGAATTACTCGCATTATTTTTAATTTACTTTCAGTTAGGTCAATATGTATAAGAGTTCAAGGAAAACTGCTCCCTCCTAGACAGATATGGCGAGGCCTCCCACAAGGTTCTGTTTTAAGTCCTATTTTATTTAACATATACACCCATAATCTCGAACATTCTGTTAACTCCTTTTGTAAAGTCTTACAATATGCTGACGATCTAACTCTTTATTACTCTTCTAAGAACTTTACAGAATTGAGTTATCGTCTTAACTCTGCATTGTTCTACTTAAATAATTGGCTTATTAATAACGGTCTCTCCTTATCACCTACAAAGAGTAGAGTAGTAATATTCTCTAGAAAAAGATTTTGTCCCAATATTTCAATCTCAGTACAAAATCAAATAATTCCGACATGTGATAATGTTAAATTTCTAGGTGTTTTTCTGGATTCTAAGATGACAGGTATTCCTCATTTAACGTTCATTGCCCAAAAATGCGAAAAGAATGTAAATATCCTTCGTTCACTGACAGGTGTTTGGTGGGGATCTCATCCATATTGTTTAAAACTTTTATAGAACGCTCTAGTCCGTAGTCATTTTGATTACGGTACATTTCTTTTGGAACCTTGTAATAAACAAGCTCTTAACCTTTTAGATAAAATCCAACTCAAGTGCTTAAGAATTATTTTAGGGGCCATGAAATCATCTCCATCAAATGCTCTACAAGTTGAATGTGGCGAACCTCCTCTTTACCTACGTAGACAGTATCTTGCCGATCGCTTTATATATCGAATATTTCAGATATCTTCACACCCACTGCTTTCTAAACTGCATTCTTTAAACTCTGGTTTGAAGAATAACAACTACTGGACTCATAAAGACGTTCCATGTATTCTTAAAAGCTACCAAAAGATACTTACCTTCAAATTTCCCATATTTCAAAGTATGTTTAATCCTCTATTCGTACATCCATTTGAAGCTTTATGTTATCACCCTCCAGTTATATTAGATTTTGGTGTGACTAAAAATTCCCCTGTAGCCCAAGAAAAATTTCTAAGTATATTACGTGAAAAATGGGAAGGCTGGTTGACCCTTTTTACTGATGCATCCAAACTCTCCGAGAATAGTTATGTAGGTTCAGCTGAATGGATACCAAAATATAAAATTATATTAAATTTTAAAAATTCAAATGTTACTTCAATTTTCACTGGTGAAGCGGTTGCTATTTTAGAAGCAATTTTATTTATAGAAGCACATAAAATTAACAAATGTATTGTTTTTACTGACTCATATAGTTCATTACAAAGCATTTCATCTAACCCGTTTCGAAGTAAATCGAAATTCCCAATTATTTTTGAAATAAAAGGTGCACTGTATAGGTGTTTTTGTCAAGGTCTTAACTTGAAACTTGCTTGGCTGCCAAGTCATAGTGGCATACGTGACAACGAATTTGTTGATTCCTTAGCAAAGCAAGCATCTACTTCTGGTACTCTCATGCATCATATAACATATACTCATGACCTTATTTCTCTTGCGAAAATCCATCAGATGGCAGATTGGAACTCTCTTTGGAAAAAAACTCAGAAGTCTATCGGTAAATATTATGCAGAACTCCAACCTGACATCCCCTCCAAACCATGGTTTTTTAAATTTAGAAATAGTTCCAAACATAGCACATCTGTCATATGTAGAATTAGATTGGGACACACTTGTACACCTGTATTTTTAGCAAAACTTAGGATTAAAGATAGCTCAATTTGTGAGTGTGGATTAGACGAAGGTACGATCGATCATAAATTTTTTAACTGCCCTAACCTCTCCGTTTCATTATACGATTATCTTCCTAATAACATTCCTCGTCCTGTAAATCTTAAGTCTTTGTTAAATTTAGTTTTCACTCCTTTTGTTCAAACCTTATTAGATTTCATATCCATTAATAACATTAAACTATAGTACCTTTGTCACTTACCTATATCCATATTATTATATTAGCAATAATTTTGTAAAAATATTATAATGTTAATTCATTCGAAAATAACTACATAGGTAAGTAAGTTCGTAACATAAAGTTAAACGGAAACTAGTAAATACACTGTGTGACTCTCATGAAATACTTGACGCTGGCAGAATCCATTGGAAGTTGCCAAACTAAGAAAAAAAAAAAAAATATGACAACTTTTTATCAACACAACATTCAACATTTTTTTTAAAGTTTTGTACATAATGTGCACTAAATTGTAATAAATCCCTCATTTTTAATGTTACATAAAATGTTTTATTTAATATGTCAGTACCTCATGTACTGATAACCAATTCAACTCAAGGTGTTAAAAAGATGATAGAATATTTTAATAACCTTACGTAAGTTTTGCCGATGCAAATGCAAATGCAAAATCCACAAGTAAACAAAACGCAGAATTATCATTTTGCGAGAGCGAGAGTGGTACCGGTAATACGTGTTTACCTGCAAGAGCAAATATCAAGTAGATAAGCTCATAAAGTTTTTTTTTAAAGTTGCGGCAACAACCAGCTTATTTTTTATCCTTTATGACTGAGAATATTCTCATAAAATGGAAGAATGGATTAAAATCACACTGATACTTTGTGCTTTTGGAACTTTGCGTGAAATTAGACCGTCGGAGCCGTTTGTTACTGAATTTTTATTGGGAAAGTGGAGAAATATTACTGAACACCAATTGAACCAAAAAGTCTATCCTGTGGGAACATACTCTTATTTGGCACAATTAATCGTGATATTTTTGGTTACCGATTTTCTAAGATTTAAACCTGTCATCATTATTTCTGGTCAGTAAGTAAAAAAAAATACTATTATTGCATCTTCTTTTTTATTAGCCAGGCAAAGTCCACAGCTAGACATGAGTCTACTGTAGTGAGGAGGCTTTGCCTTAATCACCATGCTGAGCAGACAGGTAGACAATCATAGCCCCAGACTTCTCACACCTGTAAAGCTGCTGTTTGTCACCAGTCTAAGTATTTTTACATATATATATATATGATATAAATGGGATGGGTACACAGCAACCTATTAGAAGCCATAAGGCTCTTAGCATTTTTCATGGTTACCTCTTGCAATACCCACTCTCTTACTTAAATAAATTTTACTATATTTGGTGACATGTTTTCTACAAAATACTTTAAATATAGAAAGCCACACACAATTTTTCACCTCTGAGATTATACTTTATTACCCTTGAAATAGGAACACAGCATTAGGTGTATTATTATTCAATTAAACTAATTTTTATTATTATTCAATTTTATAATTACTTTTATTTATTATGCAACTTTAAAAAGAGGAGGTTTTCTTTTCCACTGTATATTCTCTTTTTTTTTTGGATGTATGATAAACAAAATTATCTTCATGGGATACAATTTTAATAATAATTTTTTTATTAAATATGTATATTATTACTTCAGGGATTTTACCATAAGTTATGTCTAAAATATATAGGCTTTTGCCTATCTCTCATTCCTTTCTATCTTTTGTAATGATATTATAATAGTATATAAAGAAATTACAACCCTTATGAGAGGGTTTTTGAATTTTTTGGGTCTTAATACCAATTCTAAGATATGGTGCATAACCTGTATAAAATATCCAAAATTTACGTGACAATTATGACAAAACTCATATGAGGAAGGACTACATCATGTAGTGAAGTTTTTCAGACTAACAGATGGATGGCATAGCCATAAATGTACTAAATTGGTGGGAAAGACTACTAATTTTATTGAGCTCTCTTCACTGTAGATTGACAGAATTAACCAGCACAACTCTTAAGCAACAAAATGTTAAGCAAAAAAATTTCTTCTTGATTAAGCATGTAATTTAGTTATACAAGGGTCAGGCAGTAAACAAGAATATTATATTTCAGGTTACATGGTTACCTTGAAATTTCAATGATTAAGCTACCGTCACTTATATTTTCATAATATTATAAATTACATGTTTGAAAGCAATTTCAAATAAACTTTTTTATTAAAAAAAAATGCCTGCATTATTAAAAAAATTCAACCCAGTACATTGTTATTCTACAGATTGAAATGAAACTTTCATTAGTACATTTTTGACATAGTAATTGTTTAAAAAGACATTGAAAAGCATTAAGAAAAAAAGAGAGTATTTATAACATTTTAGAATACAATATTAATTTTTTAATTAATAGAAAATGTTGATTTACTTTCTGTATGGACAGGTTTCACAGCATTGTTTTGTAAACTTTTTTATAGGTAAATAACAAACTTTTTCTTGCAGGTCTTAGTGGCGTCTCAGTTTATGCTGTATTGCTATGGACAACAAGTTTAGAATGGTTGCAATTTTCGCAATTCCTGTATGGACTGTATATGGCAACTGAAGTTGCATATTTGACATATATTTATGCAAAGGTGAATATTGAATTCTCTGGATTAAATACCTTAAGTTTTAAGGAAGAACCTCATCATAAATTCCAACAATTTGTGTTTTGTGTAATGCAAATGCAAATTATGGCTGGGATGTGATCCCAGAGCCATGTCCTCCAGTCACGAGCCTACACTATCGTCAAAACAAATAGACTAATAACCTGACTGCATATCTAAAGACCAAAGTGCTGGACATGAACCTTATCATTATTTGATATTTTACATCTGGCTAAGCGAGATGGTATACTGCCATTTGCATATCTATTAGAAGCCATAATTTTTTTGGCTATTCTATAAGTGCCTCTTACTACATTTGTGGTTACTGTTACTATACCTCATTAGTTATCATAGGATTACGACAGTGTTGGTTTTCAGCAATGGTCTAATACGTTGGATTGTACTTAAGATCAATATAGTTTTTTTTTCAATATAGAAATTATGAAGGACTCGTGTGTTTTCAAGGATTTATCGTATTTCATTTAATTAATTTTTATTTATTAAAATTACCTATGATTCGTTCTGCGTACATCAGACCAAAAATATACAAAACCTGAAGGTAGCCTGGATTAACTATGACATTGGAATGTAAACACCTCCATACCCTGTGTACCTTTTTATTTTTAACGAAGTTCCTTATCGGACAGTACGAATTTGACGGATGGGGGCTAGCTGAGAAAAAGTATAAGATTTCTCCGTCACGACGTCCCTTCTGACGTAGTGTAGACGGCCTTGACGGCTATAACGAAGCGACTTGGAATAATATCCATCTCCCTCGCACTTTTTCTTATCTTGACATGAAAGAAATATTTTAAATGTTTCATTTTAATAGGCGCTACTAATTCATTTATATGTATTTTTTATCAATAATACAATATGTTTATCAATAATAACACTACGAAAGGAACTTCGTTCCAACCGATTGTTCCATCCAATCTTCCTTCCTATGGGCTTCCCGAGAAATTGTGCAAATGGATCACCAGTTTCCTTGGTGATCGGAGCATCAAGGTCGTAGTAGATGGTGCATGCTCTTATTTCAAGCCTATCAACACTGGTGTTCCACAAGGCTGCGTGCTGTCACCAACGCTGTTTCTCCTTCATATCAATGATATGATACAAACATTCATTGCTATGCAGACGACAGCACTGGTGATGCCTTATATACCGGCCGTGTCAATATTTCTCGGGAAAACGTCGCCGAGCACCGGGACAAACTTGTGTCTGAAGTGGAGTCTTTGCTGAACAAAGTCTCGAATTGGGGGCGACTAAATTTAGTCCAGTTCAATCCCCAGAAGACACAAATTTGCGCGTTTACCGCTAAAAAGAACCCCTCGTTTGCCCCCTCTCCTTTAAAAAAATCCATGACACTCAGGCATGTTTTTTTATAGAATAAGAGTGACAAACGAGCACACAGGTTGATGGTAAGTGGTTGCTGTGGCCCATAAATATCTATATCTATTCTCGTTTGCGAATTAAAATGCAGATGCCTTGTCAGCCGTGAGGACTAATATGAAATGCCTCTTTTCCAGTAAAAAGGGTCTCCAGTTCTCTACACTCACCATACAAAACAACAACATTAAGCTGCTATTTTACGCTGGTTTTCTGTGAGATCGTGGCCCTTCCCCGGCCATGCCGACCCATTCGTACTACAACTTTGTTTTTTTATAGGAGAGGGAGCATACGAGCATGCGGCTCACCTGATGGTAAGTGACTACCTCCGCCCATGAACAACTGCAACACCAGGGGAACCAGGGGAATTGCAGATGCGTTGCCGACCTTTTAAAAAGGAGTAGGCTCTTTTCTTGAAGGTCCGTAAGTCGTATCGGTCCGGAAAAATCGCTGATGGTAATCGATTCCACAAGGAAGTCGTGCGAGGAAGAAAACATCTTCTAAATCGCACAGTGGTGGATCGCCAATCATCCAGATGGTGTGGATGGTATCGGGAGTTCTGCCGCGATGTGCGTTCGTGAAATTTGGTGGCTGGGATTAATCCGAACAATTCGTCGGAGCACTCCCCGTGGTAAATGCGAAAGAAAATGCACAGGGATGCAACATCTCTTCGCAGTGCCAATGAAACGAGTCGATCGGAAAGGACTCGGTCGTCGACGATTCGAGCCGCTCTGCGCTGGATGTGGTCAAGTGGAAGGAGCTGGCACTGGGGAGCTCCTGCCCAGAGGTGGGAACAGTATTCCATGTGAGGCCGAACCTGCGCCTTGTAAAGTTGCAGCCGGTGTGCCGGCATGAAATACTGTTCCTCTCTGCTGAGCACGTCAAGCTTTTTAGAGGCCAATTTGGCCTTCTCTTCCAAGTGACCACGAAACTGCACGTCACTCGATATGTCGACTCCGAGGATTCCAATACTGGCTGAGGCAAGAAGAGGTGTGCCTTGAAACTGAGGAGATACGACAAAGGGGTTCTTTTTAGCGGTAAACGCGCAAACTTGTGTCTGAGGATTAAACTGGACTAGATTTAGTCGCCCCCGATCCGAGACTTTGTTCAGCAAAGACTGGACTTCAGACACATGTTTGTTCCGGTACTCGGCGACGTTTTCCCGAGAAATATTGGCACGGCCGGTTTATAGAGCATCACCAGTGCTGTCATCCGCATAGCAATGAATGTTACCAGTTAGCAACATAAACATTGATACGCAGAAGAAACAGCGTTGGTGATAGCACACAGCCTTGTGGAACACCAGCTTTAATAGGCTTGTAGTCGGAGCATGCACCGTCTACAACGACCTTGATGCTCCGATCTGCAAGGAAGCTGGTGATCCAATTGCACAATTTCTCGGGAAGCCCATAGGAAGGAAGCTTCGAAAGAAGCACTTTGTGCCAAACCCGATCGAAGGCCTTCGCAATGTCTAAACTAACGACCAACGCCTCCCCCTTGGACTCTACTGCCTCCGCCCATCGATGGGTCAGGTAGACCAGAAGATCACCAGCTGATCGACCCCGACGAAAACCGTATTGGCGGTCACTAATCAGCTGGTGATCCTCAAGGTACCGCATGAGCTGGCAATTAATAATGGATCCATTATTTTGGAGAACAAGGAGGTGATAGCGATAGGCCTGTAGTTGGACGGCTCTGAGCGGTCGCCTTTTTAGGGATCGGGTGGACAAAAGCTGTCTTCCATGAATTCGGGACTACGCCTTGGGAGTAGGAGTACCGGAAAAGACGCGTTAGGACCGGTGCCAACTCCGGAGCACACGTCCTCAGCACAATTGGGGGGATTCCGTCAGGCCCACTCGGCTTCTGGATGTCCAGGGAGACGTGTGCTTTGCGAACCGAACGCTGTGAGAACAGCACATCCGGCATGGAGCACTCACACCGCGGGATGGTCGGCGGTGTTTTCCCCCGTCATCAGGAGTCGAGTTGGACGCAAAAAGGGAGCCTAAAAGGTCGGCTTTGTCTTTTGCGGCATGGGCCAGTGAGTCGTCCTCCCTGCGCAGAGATGGTAGTGAGGGCTTACAGAAATTCCCTTGGACAGCCTTGGCGAGAGACCAGAATGCACGGATTCCCGAAGGAAGGCGAACTAGTTTCTCGCCAATTCTGCCTATGTGCTCTGCCTTGGCAATAACTCTTTTGAAGGACTTACTATTAATATAGCTCCAGCATAGCTCTACCATGTGTAAGCATAGCTGTACCACGTGTACGTAGGCCTTACCACGTGAGTGTTGGGAAATAAGTAAAAATAAGTTAATTTAAACATGTTAAATTTCCTAAAATTAGTTTTATTGAATGTGTAAAATTCGAGTAGGTATTAGAAATAATTATGATACTTTATTTAAGATTTTATTTTTAAACATCAGGTTAAATGTTGACTGTGACATTGACTTTTTTAATGACAATTTATATGGAAAATATTTTAATGTTCTTTCGCTTACTGCAATTAGGTGGACGCTTCGAAATATCCGCTGGTGTCTTCATGTACCAGGATAGCAGCACTAACAGGTCGGTTCCTTTCCGGGGTGAGCTCACAGTTGCTCGTGCACTATGAAGTCATGGATTATAGAGATCTCAACTACATTACGTTTTCAGGTATAAACTAATATTCTTGTAATTTTTATCAATATAATTAGCACAACTACGACATCTTTATAAGTTAATGTTGTTTTTTTTTTGTTTGCGATTTTTTTAAAAGAAACCTTATACTAGGATTTTCTCGTGTATCGTCGAGGCACTTTACGTACATAAATTGCACAAGGACAAACATCCGAACCCGGTAAAATTATTAGTAGGCCATACAAATACTTGTTCCGTGCGGGATTTGAACCCGCGGCCCTTAGCGCTGCAAATCAATGCTAAGTACATTGCGCCACGGAGCCGTCAAATGTGCATTTGTCCAGGTAAGCGGCGTAATATTTCCGACTGGGGGCCCCGGCTTGACCGTGGCTGGGCTGATAGTAAAAAATTTATATAAATAAAGTCCTCTAGACAGAATTTCAGTCACGGCGAACCTCAAAGGAGACCAGACTAGACAAGGGACGAGTACTCGGTTTGGATTCGGTACTCGGCGGATTCGGCCTTTTTTAGGGTTCGGCCGAGCACCGAGTATTAACGGCCGAGTACCGAGTACTCGGCCTTAATTATATTCCAGAGAGAAATAAAGACAAAAAGCCAGTTTTTATCATTAAAACATCAAGAACATGAGAAGCAGCAAAAATATTTAAAACGTACATAAGAATCTATAATAGAAATTGTTATTACTAATATTTAAAATTTGAAAGAAGATTGTGATGCAAAAACACTAGCTTTTCGGCCCTATTTGGATCTAGTTTGTAAGGGAAACAACCGCACGTCGCCCGCTACCGCGTTTTTTTTTAAACCGAGTATTCGGCAGAGTACTCGGTCCAATATAGGCCCATAGTCCGATGTAACTGCAGCGACACGACCGGAGAGAGATCAGGAACAGTATCAAAAGCTTTCCGTGCTTTCCGACGCACGGGAGTGAAACACCGTCACCTTACTGACTCTGGACTCTAATACTAAGAATTTCTTGACAGAAAAACTATACCTAACTGATTTTTTTGGACCGATCCGGGAATTCGAATCTAAAACCTCGTGATCTGCAGCCGAGTTTACGACCACAAGACTAACGATACGGTCGAGTCGGGCTGATGGTAACTATTATGACTAAGGGTGGAATAGCATAAAAAGTTCTACCTAAGGCCCTGTCCGCACTGCGATATTTCATCGCGCGACTTTAATTCTGGCGTATTATATTCCGTGATAAGAATTAAGTACACCTAGTACGCACTGAGAATAAATTTTCTTACTATATTTGTCAGTTCGATGCAGTTCCCCGCTGAAACGCACGTCAAAAAATGAACAACATAATTTTTTTTAATTTACCTGATACTACGGCGGCACGGCGGCGTGATAGACGTATCAAAAGATGTCATGAACAACGGATTCACTAATTTACGGCCTTGAGACCTATGAAAGTATTTTTCTACATAGAACATCAAAGGCTGCGAAAATATAGTAAATGTTTTTCAGATATTACAGAATGGCTATAAAATCATTCGATAGTTTACTACGACTTGTTGGTTGGGCTGGATAGGAAATCTATCAAGATACGAATTGGACATATATAATTTTAGCTGGAGAGAGACACGAAACGCGCAAATTTTATTCCGCAGTGCGGCCATAGCCATACTTGTTTTTTATATTCCGTGACCAAAACCTACTAACCATCTAACCAACGTACGAAACGTAAAACGCAAACTGTAACCACTAACGATATGCTAACACCGGCCCAAAACTAACCAGCTTTATACAGCTTTATACTTCACAAAATATTCGCTAGGAAATAGATCGCACCGCTCCGCGTTCAATTTGCATCAAATCACAGATTTTTTTTACCACCAGTGCGGCTACTCATATAAATAATAAATATAAGAAATATCGCAATGCTGACAGGGCCTTATCATTAATATCAGAACAATAACTATAAGCTAAACCTAACTAAATAACAACATTCTTCAAATATACATCTGAAAATTTTATTTTAAAATGGTTTCGTTTTAAAACGAATTAAAAGAAGAATTTAACAAGACGACAACTGTGCTCTGACTGACAATTCAACAGAGCTCGTTTTGAGATAACTCGGAATAGAGACATTTATATTTACAATTCACCTTTCATTATATGAACAAATATTCAATTGAAAACAAAATGACAACTATTGATGATGTTCACGGCAGTTAATACGACCTAATTGTATATCAGAGAGAATCGCGCAACTCTCACGTATACGTATCTCTATCTACTATTCTACGATCTAATTGAACTTATTAACTTCCTTCTGCGTAGCATTGAAAGGAAGTTAATGGTTTTAGCTGGCAGTCTGTTAGTCTGTATGCCGACACGATAACTTCCGTTCCACTGGACCGATTGACTTTAAATTTGTTATGTGGATACCTTGAGGTAGTAGCTCGGTCTAGTTTGAATTTGGGTCCTGTAGGTCAAAGGGCACCAGAGATATGGGATTCACGCAGAAGGAAGTTGTTTTTCTTGAATTTACATTCAACTCGTTTTATTGAATGTCGTTCTATCAATAGACAGCGCACGTTTTTAAAACAAAACAAAATAACTTAGGCAAAGTATATTATTGTGATGCAATTTTTTAGTAAATAATTAAAACTTAAATGTATTTATTTTTAAATAAAAAAATTAATGTATTTTTTTAAACGTGGTAGAGCCATGTTGCAGCTATATTAGTAGTAAAGTTGTAGCACGAATGGGTCGGTTTGACCGGGGAAGAACCACGCTCTCACAGAATACCAGCGTAAAATAGTATCTTGACACTGTTGTGTTTCGTATGGTGAGTGTAGAGAACTGGAGGCCAATTTTACTGGAAAAGACGCATTCCATCGTAGTCCTCACGGGTGACGACGCATCTGCATTTTGATCCTTTATTGAGGATAAATGTAAATGTCTATGGGTCACAGCAACCACTTACCATCTGGTGGACTGTGTGCTCGTTTGTTACCTTATTCTATAAAAAAAATGTATTTTTAGTAACCATCTCTAAATGTCCATACATCTTTTCTTTAACGCCTAAATCGGCAGCACTTATGACCGGTAGCGTCACTGTGTTGCCGTATGCTCTTTCGCATTGCTCGCGCAATACGAATCAACAAGGTGCAGCTAAGTAAAATAATAATGTCATCCAGACCTAATTTCGGTCATCTGCACAGGACACAGTTATAGAGCGTTTGCGCAAGCACAGGTGCACTCTATTTTCTCACAGGGTTGTCAGCGATCTCTTGGCCCTCCTTAAAAGCTTTGTGCTTACTTGTACCAACACTAGTAGGCAAGTTTTTTCGAAAACAAGTGGTAAAATTAAATATTTTGGACAACCGACTTCAATATAATATTAAGTTTAACAGTGGTAGAGCCAAGCGGTAGCTTTTGCTGTCGCACGGATGGGCCAGCTCGACCCGGGGTGGTACCACGACCTCACAGAATACCAGCGTGAAGTAGAGGTTTACCTCTGCGTTGCGTTTGGTGAGTGCAGGTGGCCGGAGGCCCAATTCCCCCCCCCCCCCCCCCATCAACATGGTAGTGGAATTAAATACAAGACTACCCCAGGAGGGTACCAGCAACCCTGGAGAATCCCTCGCTGAGCATCCACGAACAAACTACTTCACTCCTGAGCGTGGGTGCTCAGGCTGCCCCGCGTATTCTGGGGGGGGGCAAAATTCCGCTCGTGACTAATGCTGCTCGGGGCAAGCGGAGCAATACAACCAAGGCGACCCCTGTCACGCTATCCGTGAATTTTTGCAACATCAGGGGACTTCATTCCAACCTTAACGCTGTCCATTACCATCTAGAGACGGCGAAGCCGGCCTTGCTCTTTTTAACCGAGACTCAGGTGTCCTCTCCGGCTGATACTTCATATCTCTCCTACCCGGGGTACAAATTGGAACACTCCTTTGTGCCCCGGGCTGGAGTTTGTGTATACGTCAGAGAGGACATCTGTTTTCGACGCCTCGGCAGCCTTGAAGGTACGGACCTGTCCATCCTATGGCTGCGCGTAGACAGCGACGACCATCCCCGCGTCTACGGGTGCCTCTATAGGTCCCATAGCGGTAATGCCGACACAGACCGACTCATCGACCACGTCCAAATGGCTGCAGACTCCGTGCTACAACAGGTCCCATCCGCAGAGATCGTGATACTCGGTGATTTCAACGCCCACCACGCTGAATGGCTTGGTTCTCGTTCAACCGATCATGCGGGTAGATCTGTCTATGACTTTGCTTTGGCATATGGTCTAACACAACTGGTTACTTCGCCTACGCGGATCCCAGATGTGGAAGACCATGTACCTTCCCTGTTGGACCTTCTGCTGACCTCTCATCCGGACGGATATCAGGTCTCCGTCGATGCCCCTCTGGGCTCTTCGGACCATTGTCTGATCCGGAGCACAGTGCCACTTACGCTCCAATCGCAGTTGCGATCTACAGCTTGCCGCCGTGTTTGGCACTATAGGTCAGCTGATTGGGACGGGATGCGGTCTTTTTTTGCATCCTACCCTTGGGGGCGGGTTTGCTTCTCGCCGGAAGATCCCAGCGTTGTTGCCGATTCTGTTGCTGATGTGGTACTTCAGGGTATGGAACTTTTTATTCCATCCTCTGTGGTGCCCATCGGAGGCAGATCCCAGCCATGGTTTGGTCGCTCCTGTAAAATAGCATCACGCTATAAGCAGGAGTGCTACCGGGCCTGGGCTGACGCATCAACGTCTCGGGATTTAAACACCAGCGCACTTAAAAAGAAGTATAATTCCGCCTCCAGGTCCTTCAAAAGCGTCATTGCCAAGGCAAGGTCTGAGCACATCGGCAGAATTGGCGAGAAGCTAGTTCGCCTTCCTTCGGGAACCCGTGCATTCTGGTCTCTCGCCAAGGCTGTCCAAGGGAACTTCTGTCAGCCATCCCTCCCATCTCTGCACAGAGAGGACGACTCACTGGCCCATGCCGCAAAAGAGAAAGCCGATCTGTTGTGCTCTCTTTTTGCGTCCAACTCGACTCTAGATGACGGGGGGAACACACCGCCGACCATCCCGCGATGTGAGTGCTCCATGCCGGATGTGCGATTTACACAGCGCTCGGTTCGCAAAGCACTCTTCTCCCTGGACGTCAGCAAGTCGAGTGGGCCCGATGGAGTCCCTCCCATTGTGCTGAAGACGTGTGCTCCGGAGTTGGCACCGGTTTTAACGCGTCTTTTCCGGTACTCCTACTCCCAAGGCGTAGTCCCGAATTCATGGAAGACAGCTTTGGTCCACCCGATCCCTAAAAAAGGCGACCGCTCAGACCCGTCCAACTACAGGCCTATCGCCATCACCTCCTTGTTCTCCAAAATAATGGAATCCATTATAAACTGCCAGCTCATGAGGTACCTTGAGGATCACCAGCTGATCAGTGACCGTCAGTACGGTTTTCGTCGGGGTCGATCAGCAGGTGATCTTTTAGTTTACTTAACTCATAGATGGGCGGAGGCAGTAGAGTCCAAGGGGGAGGCATTGGCCGTTAGTTTGGACATAGCGAAGGCCTTCGATCGGGTCTGGCACAAGGCGCTTCTTTCGAAGCTTCCTTCCTATGGGCTTCCCGAGAAATTGTGCAAATGGATTACCAGTTTCCTTGCTGATCGGAGCATCAAGGTCGTAGTAGACGGTGCATGCTCTGATTACAAGCCTATCAACGCTGGTGTTCCACAAGGCTGCGTGCTATCACCAACGCTGTTTCTCCTGCATATCAATGATATGTTGCTAACTGGTAGCATTCATTGCTATGCAGACGACAGCACTGGGGATGCCTTATATACCGGCCGTGCCAATATTTCTCGGGAAAACGTCGCCGAGTACCGGGACAAACTTGTGTCTGAAGTCGAGTCTTTGCTTAACAAAGTCTCGGATTGGGGCCGACTAAATCTAGTCCAGTTCAATCCCCAGAAGACACAAGTTTGCGCGTTTACCGCTAAAAAGAACCCCTTTGTCGTATCTCCTCAGTTTCAAGGCACTCCCCTTGCTGCCTCAGCCAGTATCGGAATCCTTGGCGTCGACATATCGAATAGCGTGCAGTTTCGTGGTCACTTGGAAGGGAAGGCCAAATTGGCCTCTAAAAAGCTTGGCGTGCTCAGCAGAGCGAGACAGTATTTCATGCCGGCACATCGCTTGAAACTTTACAAAGCGCAAGTTCGGCCCCACATGGAATACTGTTCTCATCTCTGGGCCGGGGCACCCCAGTGCCAGCTCCTTCCACTTGACCGCATCCAGCGCAGAGCGATTCGAATCGTCGACGACCGAGTTCTTTCCGATCGGCTCGATACACTGGCACTGCGTAGAGATGTTGCATCTCTTTGCGTATTTTATCGCATCTATCACGGGGAGTGCTCTGAGGAATTGTTCGGACTAATTCCAGCCGCTCAATTTCACCATCGCACGTCGCGACAAAACTCGCGTTACCATCCATACCATCTGGATGATTGGCGGTCCACCACTGTGCGATTTAGAAGAAGTTTTCTCCCTCGCACAACTTCTTTGTGGAATCAATTACCACCAGCGAATTTTCCGAACCGATACGACTTAGGAACCTTCAAGAAAAGAGCTTACACCTTTCTAAAAGGCCGGCAACGCATCTGCAATTCCCCTGGTGTTGCGGTTGTTCATGGGCGGCGGTAGTCACTTAACATCAGGTGAGCCGCATGCTCGTTTGCCCCCTATTCTATAAAAAAAAAAAAAAAAGTATATCTCAACTTAAGTATAACTGGAAGTTTCAATCTAGTTTCAGTCAAGTTTAGTAGTAAGTAAATTAAAAATAATAATAATAAATATGGGACCACATGAGAAGCACCAGCTTTCAAATTAAAATAAAGAATCATCAAAATCGGTTCATCATCACAGCAACAAAGACAATGCTTCATCGAGTCCGCTCACTTAATTTCGTTCGCATTATAAAATTTGAGGCAACATTATTCATTTTTATGAAATTTTTGCTAACGATGATTGCGATTTCGATAACGATATTTCTTCTTTGTTATCTCATCTAGTAAAATACCGAAAACAAAGATACACAAATCGTTAAAAATAAAAATCCATATAAATGGCTAAATATTATAGTTCAAGTGAGAAATTCTTGTATATTATTACTATATGTATATTATTGTAATTAGTTTCTCGGAAACGGCTGTAACGATTTGGTTGAAATTTTATGTTCAGATAATGTTTTACTTTTCAAGTTTATTTATATAGGTTTCATTCCTGAGAAAGAAATGATATTTTTTACGACAAACACCTTAGCTCTACTTTTCTTATTTTATCCCAAAATGAATACCAGAGGCATAATTATTTTTTAATTTCAGCCCAAATTCTAGCATCGTTCTGGGCCTTCTGGTTGCCACCAGTGCCTTACGGCATATACTTCCATCGTAAATCGATCATCAGCCAAGTAATAGTAGATGATATTGAATCAAAAACTGTTCCTCTGGAAACAATTGAGCTAGAAAAGGTAAGTGGCAATACTTTATATAATATTTTAATTATAATATTAATATTTTACAAAACAATAGATGTTCAGTCCGGCTTGGATCAGTCTGAACTCTGAACTCATACTGCAGTATGAATTTTGGATCAAAACTAGTCAATGTTTTTCCACTTATAAACGCAAAATGTGCGCACATGCAATAATATAGACAATTAATAAAATAATAATTACCTCTTTGTGGAAGAGTAACGCGTAGCTGGCGTTGTAAGAATGTTTACTACCCCATATCATCCCGCGGGTGTCGTAAGAGGCGACAGAGGGAAACAAATCAGGAGATTGGCAGCAGCGTCTAATAACAACTAAAAATAAAAAAACTGCGATTGCGAACCCGCTTGCCAAGCGTAGCAACTGTGGCAAATATCCCCTCTATGAGGCAATCTGTGGAGGAGGCCTATGTTCAGCAGTGAACTTTAACGGGAGAGTAATGATATAAGTTTAAACGTGGTAGAGCCATGCTGCAGGTATATTAGTAGTATAGTTGTAGCACGAATGGGTCGGCTCGACCGGGGAAGGACCACGCTCTCACAGAATACCACCGTAAAATAGCAGCTTAATGATGCTGTGTTTCGTATGGTGAATGTAGAGAACCGGAGACCCTTTTTACTGGAAACGAGGCATTCCATCTTAGTCCTCACGGGTGACAACGCATCTGCATTTTGATTCACAAACGGGGATAAATGTTCCTAAATATCTATGGGCCACAGCAACCGCTTACCATCAGGCGGACTGTGTGCTCGCTGGTCACCCTTATCCTATAAAAAAATTGGAGAAGTGTTATTACAAAATAATAAAATATAAGAATCTAAGTTTCCTTTTTATCTCCATCATCATTAGCATCTTCAAAAGGTAAATAATGAAAAACAATAAAGTTCTAAGAACCATCTCTAAAAATATTCAGGTGTAAAATACATTCACAAAAATGCGAAGTGTCTGTTTCTGCAGTGCTCACATAGCTTTACTAGTGGTAGGACTCCTTCCAGTGCCGGATTAACCACGTAGCAAGAGTAGGAATTGCTACGGGCCCCGCGAATACAAACCCGCCGAACTCCCCATAAACGTAATTTTTGAGTGAAATTAAGACGTGGTATTCTGGTAATTTACTTGATGTCACAAAAACGTGAAACGTTACACCTTCCGACTAAGACAATCGATGTCTGACAGTCGGTAACCGATTATTTCGTTGGCGAAAATAATACAAGGAATTTCATACGGTAAACGCACAAGTTCTACAAACAGTTGCTTATATACAATTTAAAAAGAAAATCGTTGTATAGAATTTGAATTGACCCAATAATCGGCTCTGTAAAAAGTCTGACGTGTGCAATCGTTTGGTAATTTCCATAAATTTTATACGTTAGTTTTAGAATTTCATTACGGGGATCAGCACGAAGTTTTAATGGTAATACGAGGGGCACGCTGAAATGATCGGGAATAGAATATTTCGGATTGAGTTACAATAAAACCTTTTTTAGAATTTGAATACTGGCCTCTTAGAATCTTAATGACTTAATGATGTTGGTTTAAAGTTGACGCGTCGTTAACAGAAATGAATCTCACGCGTGAACATTTCCGTGCCATAATTTATCACAATTTTCGTCGCGGCTTATCTCAAAATAAATGTCTCAGAGAATTTGTTTCGATTTATGATGTTGAAGCACCGAGTCAAACGAGAATATACCGCTGGTATGCCAAGTTCCGACGCGGTCGTGTGTCGCTCAGCACTGTTTCTTCTGCAGGTCGACCAAGAACAGAGGTCACGCCTGACAACATCGCAGCTGTGCGAACTATTATATTAGATGACCGTCATGTGACATACGAGCAGATTCGCGCTGTTATCAGTATCGGAATGACTGCAATTCAGTCGATATTACATAATGAGCTGTGTGTAAGAAAGCTAGTTTCCCGCTGGGTTTCCCACAATTTGTCCGAAGAGCAAAAGGCGGCTCGTGTAGATTGGTGCCGGAATACTCTGCATCGCTTCAACGGAGGGAAGTCAAATGCCGTTTATAATATCATGATTAAGAATCATGGATTTATTCATACGAACTTGAAAGAAAACATCAGTTAGCAGTTTGGGTCTTCAAAGATGAGGTCAAACCAACGAAAGTGGTTCGCTCCCGCAGCGTGTCAAAGAGAATGGTCGCTACGTTTGTCTCGAAAAAGGGGCATGTTGCTACAATTCCTTTACAGGAACGCAGAACGGTTACCGCTGAGTGGTATATCACGGTTTGTTTGCCAGAAATGATAGCCGAACTCCGAAACGTCGGATCATCTCACATCACGATAATGCGAGCTCCCATATAGCTCGTAAAACAAATGATTTTTTGAAGCAGGAAAACGTTGAGCCGATGAGCCATCCTCCGTACAGTTCTGAACTGAGCCCAAACGATTTCTTTACATTCCTTAGAATGAAAGTTTTACTACGCGGTCAACGGTTTGAAAACCCCGAAGCAGCTGTGAAAGCGTACAAAGCAGCCATTTTGTCAACATCAACTTCAGACTGGAATTACTGTTTTAATAATTGGTTTGCACGAATGGAAAAATGCATTAAGTTGAACGGAGAATACTTCGAAAAACAATAAAATACAATTTAGCTATACCGTGCATGTGGTTTTTCTTATTCCCGATCATTTCAGTGTGCCCCTCGTAATGGTCGACGCGCCCGTGCGACAGGAGGCGCGGAACCCCGTTTTCAACATTAAATAAAAAGTGTTGCTTATGGAGCTATAGGAGTCACAACTTTTTTTTTAAGAAATTTCCTCCTCTTTAAGAATATTTTTTCGATTGTCGGGACCGCTTTAGTTATTAACAAAAAGCTGACCCTTATTTTTGTTTATGTTTTTTTGTTAATAACAAACTGAATTTCGAAAATTTTGATCTCCAGAAAAAAAACGACTTTCTCGAAATTTGATTCCGCATCGAATGAGCTATCGCTCATATTTTTGTCACAATTCTAACGATTTTTCACAGCACACTCGCTGCTCGACTAGATTACTCGTGGCTCTCCTCTCTAAAAGGTCTTCGTTACCATGTAACAAAGCAATGATTACCATTATACACTGAGATTAGAACTATACTCTTCTCTCCGTTCAGTAATAGAAATCAAATCTGAATTGATTATAAAGTAGTTGTAATTATGTGGGTTTTTATTTTCATGTTTCTTTTTTGTTCGAGTTTTTTTGACTGAGGAACAAACTAATTTCACTATCATCAAACTTGTGTACTTATCAAGTTATTAATTCGTATCTATTCCAAGGTTTGAGGTGATAATTATTAAAACTAATCGTGAGTTTTGAATTTGAGCAAAATGTCTGATATAACTCCATTCCATCAGTGGTATGCATAAATTTCAATACAATTAATTAATAATCAGGAAATATTGATATGAAATAGAATTAAATATATTATTGAAAATGTATGAAAAAGAAATTAGTCCACAATTCTGCCAAAAGTCATTTGTCACTTATAAATATAAAACTACTAATAAAACTCACGTCAGAAATTGGTTATGCTATTCAGAAACTAAATAGCGACTTTTCTGTTTTGTTTGCAAAGCTATAGATTCAGATACTAATCAGTAGGCTCGGCTTACGAAAGATGAGTTCGATGACTGGAAGAACGCAAACAATTTGTTGAAAAGGCATAAAGAAATAATTCCGCATAGAAAAGTTTTAATTTCACTGTTCAAATCGCAAAAACAAGAATGCATGTGTCGATTTTCAACTAGTCAGCCAAACTGAGACTGAGCAAAATTATTGACAGAAACGAATTATTACAGTAATAAAGTTTTTAGAAAGACTACGCTTATTATAATTTCTTTCCGAATTTAATGTTTTTATATGGCCCAACATATTTTCGTAAGGAAAAGGACACACGTCGTATTATTTATTTAAAACAACATGCGAGGAATTTATCAAATTGATTGCATCAAGCATGCAATACATCGAATGCATGAAACGGAAATAATGACAATTACGTGGAATGGAATCCTATATTTCGAACGTATGTAGAACGCATGTATACGAGTGCGTCGATGCAATCGTACAATATAGACCGATATAGTATGGTATACATCCTTTATGTCCAAACGATGCGATCCACATTTTCGGATATTGAATCAAAAGCCAACAATCTGACAGGCTGTCATGAATATCGGCAACAGACTTCAAGAAGACGCAATCGAAACACTAAGTACGACCATTTTAGCGGTTCTAGTGCACTTGACAAATTTGTTGAAAAAGGAACACCTAGTAAACAGTTTGAAAAAGAGGTGTTAGTTTACATTATTGATAACACACTATCTGCTTTAAATAAACTATTATATATAGAATAGATATAATAATATAGATGGTAAGTGACTACCGCCACCCATGAACAACCGCAACACCAGGGGAATTGTAGGTGCGTTGCCGACCTTTTAGAAAAGAGTAAGCTATTTTCTTGAAGGTCCCTAAGTCGTGTCGGTACAGAAAAATCGTCATCGAAGTAATTACTTTTTTTTTAAATATTTAGACAGTTTAAATCTATTACAGCAGTGGCTGGTGCGTTGGACAGTACGAAAAAACTTTTAAATATGTGCTAAAAAGATTTACAATCATTTGTGTAGTATCGTCAGTTTTAAGTTGTTATTTCTTATCAAAATTATTCTAAATAGCCGGGACAATCTCATCTTTGGCTTTTTGTACTTGTCAGAGTCTAATAGGGCCTATAGTAATTTACTGTACTATTAAACACCAACAAAATTGTAACCTATAAATGGAAAATAAACTTATTGAGTATTGAATTGTTTTTTTACCACTTTTTACTTAATAACCCATAGTAGATCAAGGATCCCTCGATGGAATTTGCTACGGGCCCCGCGTTTGCTTAATCCGGCGCCGACTCCTTCTGCTGTCTAGGAGTCAGTTTGAGTAGATCTCTTACCTATTTCTGACTTCAAATTGCACTGCTTACACTACATTGTGTTCCGGTCCGAAGGGTATAGAGTGCCCTTATAGTTACAGGCTGTAATGCATTCCATCTCATTCCTCAGAAATGGCAACACATCTGTAACTTTCTTTGTTTGAAACCGGCTGCAAGCGTCCATGGACTGCGGTAGCCACTTACCATCAGATTCGTGAATTCGTTTGTTACTTAGTTTCAATTTTTTTTAAATCTGACCTAATTTAGAATTTAGCGGCACTATTGCTGAAGCACAATGACGCATAGGTATAGATCGAACTACAACCGAAGTCTGAATCACGCTATGGAAGTTTCCGAACCTGCATGTATACAAGAAGCTACTTAAATGCTTAATGTGTAAGTTTCCAGAAGTTGCAGGTTGGATTTCATTAAAATACATTATTATTTTATATTAAATTACCAACATTTTGATTCGAAATCTGATGCTGACAAATTTATTATAACTATTTATTTATTTACACTTTTATGGTCGGCAGCTTTCGTTGATATGACAATATCACGCAGTGATAAAATTGAAAGTTTGTACTGGTTTAGTCACTTTTTAAGCACTGCTTTGGTAGTTTTTAGCCACTTGTCGAGTTTGTTTGTAAATGCATTCACAGATGTCGCGGAAACGATATCTTCTGGTAACATGTTCCAGCTGTGAACTACTACTTACTAAATAAATGTGTACAGAAGAAGAATTTAATCTAATACGTTCTTTACAGCGTTCATTTCAAAAGAACATAGTAGAGGCGTCGAGCCTGATCACCCGACATGCTCGGTCAGCATACTCGCGCCCTAAAGTGATCGCTTGGTCTGCGCTTTACGCCGTCGCCTTGGCACTATTCGTTCAGGCCCAGACCTACGTGCAGCTACTGTGGAAGTACATCCAGGATGAGAGCGAATCGCCTGTGAGTTACTTATACTTTACTTCACATTTCTTCCTTATCAGTGTAAATATGGTGTTTAGTACCGGAGTCAGTTTCTTCCAAGTAGGGACGATTTGGTGTAATCGAGAAAAAAAAAGCCTTGCACCCTGGGATTTTAGTAATATTGATAATTTACTAAGATTTCTCAACGAGCTTTGGTGTTTTGAATAATAGTCCTGTCCGCACGCAAAATACGCGCTCAGAAGAGTGGAGTTGTGGAACTCAATCCAGCTCAGCAATTATCAATATGTACTGTATTTTGTACGTGGTAGAGCCATGCTGCAGCTCAGTAGTATAGTTGTAGCACGAATAGGTCGGCTCCATCCGACAAACTAACGATAGCGTGTCAAACGAGCACACAGTCCACCATCAGGTGGACTGTGTGCTCGTTTGACACCCTATCCTATAAAAAAAAATTTGAAATCTTAATTTTTAGGTCCTAGTAGAACATAGCTACGCGCTTAGCGCTTAAGGCATGCAATAAAATGTACTGTATAGAATAAACTACAACTTAAATTTTTGGTCCAGTATTTGGTTTTGCAAGTTAATAATTCTGTACCGTAAAACGAAATTCAAATCAACTTCTGATACATCCAAGAAAATGGTAGATTTTCTTACGAACGTATTATGATGTAGACAATGATGTCAACATGTTGTTATCACCACAGTGACATCTCTTGTTCTTAATCCACTCGTAGAAGTCCACAGTTAAATGTAGACTTCTCCCGCTGAAGAAATGATTTACTATATGAAAATGATTAGTTGGATAATGAATTCTCTCACGCCATCACCACCCAGCAATAAAGCAATTAATGAAAAATATCTAATATTTTTCATTTAACATAAATAATTGGAATATTAAGATGCGTCGATCTTATTTGCCACGATATAGTTGTTTTGATATCAACGCAAGTACACATTATGTGTAATACGTATAGTGGCGGTGTAAAAATATCCACTACCCCATATCGTCCCGTAGATGTTATAACATCTACGGGACGATATGATTTGTTTCGCTTGTCGCCTCTTATAAGAGGCGACAAGCGAAACAAATCAGGAGGGTTGCGCAGCAGTGTCTTCCTGATGACAATTTAAAAATAAATAATGCGGTTGCAAACCCGCCGCAAAGCGTGACAAATATCCTCTGTATAAGCAGGCCTGTCTCACTCCGCGCTTTAGGCATGAAAATATACCTACGCTACGTGGTCCCATACAAGCGGCTAATTCCGTGAGTATGTCGCGGCACTTAGGTTCCCCCGGTAGGCAGTGAGTCCCTCATAACCACGATAGACCGGCTGTCGTGGTATGCGTAATGCATTTCCGCCTCCCTACATAAAGGGTAGCCCTATTCCAATTGATTCGGGCGCAAAAAAAAAAGCGTGCTAAGTCAGTCTGGCTCGAGCAGTCGAACAGTACAGACCTTTCTAAATACATCGTTACGCTGTCAGTTGAATAAACGAGGCTTTCAGTTTAGTTGTGGTGTTTTCTTTGGAAGATTGAAGATGAGTGATCTCCATGAAAATAACATTACAGTAGTCAGCTGTGCTGACGTCACACTTTTTAAAAACAACGAGGAGCTCTGTCCACCTTCATATCTTTTCAAAATAGTGTCAATTTACAACAATACAACGCTGCATCCGATGAAACCACGGAGTATGATCCGGGCTAGTGTCGGTTTTTGGACACAGATCAAAGGGCGCTTGCGGTAAGCGCTTGCAACGCATTCACACGTTGGTGCGCGTTTAGTAGAAATTATGATTTCGCGACGAGCGCATGTTTAGTTCTTTGTTTAAAATGAGTGACTGGTCGAACGAAGAAAGTTTATCGTTTTTGTAATATTACCAGAGCGAATCGTCTATCTGGAACCCCAAAGACGTTAATCATAAAAATAAAAAGAAAATTGCAAATGCTTGGAGTCGTCTTGCCGAGTAAACGGGAAAGCCAGTAAAAGAATTAAAAGCCAAAAATTCCTTGTTTTTGTATTACTTTGCTTGTATTTCAAATAAAAGTATGTTAAACCAAACGCAATAGCCGACACGAGTTCGGTGTCCGCCATGCTTGGATATACGTAGCACACTGATGCATTCACAAGCGTGTAAACATCTTCCAACCGCCAGACGATATTTGTGGACGCTTGGGGCTTGAAGACGTTTGCCGAGGCTTGGCAAGCGTGGAAAGGCACCATAAGTGATACAGACACTCGCACGCGGACGTAAGTTGCATTTTGATTTAATAAGCGCGCCGTATTAATTTTGTTTCGACGTAGGCTTATTTCACGAAGGTCTCTTCCGAGGCGGGAAAAATATTATGAACATTAGCGACGTTGTAACTAGGTTTAAACTCGCAAGTTTACTATCAGAAAGTGAACCTTGTGTTCTTGTACTACTATTTATTCTGTGGTGTAAGTCAATCTATGGGGAGGTTTATTTTCTGCAGTGATGACATGTTATGTGTAAAGATTAAGATTTATTTTATTTTATTTGCTGGTGTATGTTTATCAAGTCATTATCATTTGCTATTGTTTTCATTATGAACTTAGATTTACTTTATCTGGTAAGAACAATGAATTCATATTTACGTCTCTTTATCTTGATTGTTTCGATATTATCCTGTATGTTATTTTATGTGTGCTAGGTTTCCTCACGATGTTTTCCTTAACCGCTGAGCACATTGTAAATCAGCACTTAAAATTGCAATTAATAATTTCATTCGTGCCGGCGGGTATCGATCCCGGGATGCTCGAGTACTGTGAAGCTTATTAGCTTTTCCACGATATGAAATCTGCCAAATATTTCACTTTATTCGTAAGTGCCGTCGCCCTGGTGACAGAAAAGGTCGTGGATGCCTTCATTGTTCGCCGAGCTATGGAGAGGGTTACGCTTAGATTTCATTACGTCACAAAATCGGCTAAAAGACAGAATAAAATTAACTAACCCAGTTAAAAGGAGCAGTGAACTGATGAAGTAGCACACAATCAGCTATATATACCTCTAAGAACTTTATTAAGCACGAGGAAAAAAGGTTCTCGCGTGGCAGCCTCGTGCTGGGCAGTGCAATGTAGCAACCTCTCACTAAAAGAGTGACGACCTGATGAAACATTTAAGGAGCAGACGGAAACGAGTAACTCAATGAGGTGATCGCTACCATGCCGTTTCTAAATGTTTTCATACTAATTGTATGAAATATTATATTGTAAATTCTTTTTTTTTTAAAGGTCCCGCTTTGTTTCTTGCTGGTTCTTCTCAGAACAGAGATTTTTTGATTATATCCTTTGAGTCGTCTGTGTGGAAGCAGCAGACTTCAGCCGTAGACTTATAATTATAATGATCAGCTATTTTTGATGATAATGATGATCATAATCATGTTTATGAAGTTGAATTGTAATATTATTATTTTAAAAATACAAGCAAAATTAAATGTATGTAGGAAGTATAATGGAGATAGTACAGAGACTAATTTTGTAGTTTGGAATAATAATTAATTCGTTTACACGAATTAATTATCCAACGAGTCGAGGATAAACTAGTAACTCAATACGACAAGCGCACCGTTCCACGTCAGAGCCAAGACTGTCTTAACGACGGCCGCTCCGTCCGTTTTATACAAGCAGGACGGGTGGCAAAACAGGTGCAATGCCGCAGGTGTGCGCTACACGTGTCGTTTACAAGAATTCTGTCTAGCCAGACCGACGCCACCGCACCTACAACGGTGCAGGTGCCGTCACGGCCATACTGACATGCGTGCGTCCTCGCACGCGCTCCATCACAATTTTAGTTATCTGTAACAACTGTAATCTGTAAAATCGTTCGATTATCCTGACAAAACAGCGTCTGGTCCGGTCTATATTGACCCTTCAGACTTGGGTGATAGTCTGTTTTGTTCCAGCAGTAAGCCTTACAAAACTTTAATCATCTTTATGTTAGATCGGAATGATTAGTCTGTAGCTTTTTCTATTTGCTCTTTTTTTTTTCAAGTACTGTTTTCGCTAGTCCGGAATAACAACTATTCCCTATAGCCATATCATTGGACCGGCACAAAGCCCTTCAATGATAGTAAGAACTGTTTTTTTTCATACGCTTTTTTTTTCAAGTACTATTTATGCTAGTCCGGAATCACTATTCCCTTTAGTTATATCATTGGACCGGCAAACGCCCTGCAATGATAGTAAGAACCACATTTTTTTTTCTAACTCTCTTTTTTTTCAATTCAGTATAGAACAGTTACAGACCAACCATACCGCAAACATGTCCCCGTCACAATCACACAAAAGTGTATTGTGAGGGACGTAGTGACACACGATAACACCTAAGTATGTAAACCAACAGCAACTCGACACATATCCCAGTGCAGCACAGACCAGCCTCCCTGCAACTTCATGTTCCTTTCCTGCACTGGAATAATTACTTCGCTAGAGTGTTGCAACGTCTCTAGTATTTTCTATATGCACAGACACGGCTACCTCTGACTGTCGCACGTCGTCGTGCGGTTGACAGTGAACAGCATACGGTCTATCAGTTATCACCACCTGCTAACAGATATTGTTAAATATTACAACGGTCGACCATCCCAGACTTCATTTAAGTCATGGACGCGCCGATATGGCTACTCCAGGCAAACGCACTCCAGCTTTCCGTTCTGCTGCGTCCGTGCCACATTAGCGCCAGCGAGCCGTCGCGCCGTACTAGCGCTAGCTAATCGTCGTACTGCTTTGCAAAATTAAAAGAAATCGAGATAAATGTATTGCGAACCATGAAATTCCGAGCTTCCAAAATTCATCACAAATTCTCTTAAGAAACGGCAACTGTATAGACATTTGAAAACATTGCAATAAACGAAAACTATGTGTAGAGACGGATACCATCACATATTTCAAAGGGAAGGAGGCAACTGCGCAAAATCTACGAAAGCCGACCAAGCCTCAGACGTTCATTTACAGCACCAAAGGACCATGTGTTCGGCGGCCGCTTGAATTGCATTGCCGTAAGATCTGCCGATAAGTTACAGACTGTAGCGGTGTAGGCTCAATCTTACTAGCGCTCGGCCGTACCTGACCATGTTCGATTAGTCGTCACAACATCTTCCTCATTGATTATTGTTGTAGAGACTTCTACGAATCTCTCGACATCAAACGCCAATCTTGTCGACCACACAGTATTCGGAGCAAACTGCAACACTGATCAACACATTAGAACACAAAAATGTCACTTATTATTTTCAATTCCTAGCATGTTAAAGTTAATCCTTTATTGTAGTACAACCCTCAAAAGTTTTGAACTTCAAAATATAGCAAATGATAATCATGTTTCGCGTGAACTATCAAATTACAACAAAACGAGAGCAGCGGGAGCACCTGAGGGTTTACAAGCATCGTCGGGGTTGTACTTATCATGATCTGCGTGAAAAACAAATTGTTAACTATAAGGACAACATACACAGTTGCCTGTTCTCTCATCTATCACATATACGAGGCCCTAAAACAGAAATACGTTCTCATACCTTGGACTATAATAAAGCACTTCGCTGTCACAAGTAAACATAGGTCTTCATACGAAGTATCTGACACATACTCTTACTTGAACTTGCGAGATCCCACGTTAACTACGTGAACCACATTAAAAACGTGAACCAGGACAGCGCCTGCCAGGACAGAGCCTAATACATGTTCAGAAAACATTACCGTGCACACAGCATACGACTTCCGCGCACACAGTGTGACTCCCACGCATACAGAGTACACGACTTCCGAGGCATCGCCATGTACAGCATACGCGCGCTCCGGGATGGCGCCTGCGTATACGCGCATACGCATCTGCCGAAACCAGGCCATGTTACAGCTGGACCTGGCAGTCCGTTACGACCAGCAAGGCACACACTCACGCACTTGTAACTACATCACACGTGCTACTGTAACACATAAAAGAAAACATTCAAAATACTCAGTCGGAACTTGATTTCAAGAAATGCAGCACTACTCTTGGTACACCATTCGCCTTTCTAGAGCACCAAATACTGAGCTGCGGCTACACGACAACCTCTGGTATGGTCCGATCCTCATGTAAACTTAAATACTCTCTTCAATGTCAGAACTAATTGGTTCTACTTCACTTTCATTAGTTATACTTCGGTTTTCCGGCATTTTTCGCAACCAATTAAAAATGTAAACACTCATTCTTACAAAATAGTTTCTGAGCCAATGTTTAGGATAAATTTACTTTCCTCATGTATCTAATGGTGATCAGTAGCAGCGACAAATAATAAGTCCGCGGCGTCATAAGCCGACAGCATACTCAAAAGCGAGCGCTACAGCTCCACGCTTTCCACTAAACCATTCCAAGTTTGTCGACTACGTAATGCTCGGAGTAAACTGTAACACTTATCATCACATTATATCACAAAAATACTACTTAGTGTTTTTAAGTCATAGCACGTTAAAGTAATCATGTTCTTTTTTTCGGTACATCGTTTAAACATTTTGAACTTTAAAACTAGGCCATGTAAATCACACCTCGTGTATCAAATTATAACATTACTTGAGCAAGTTAAACTTCCACTGAATGCAAACTAACTCATTCAGAATATCTCCAACATTTCTTTCATTTGTTAACATATTTAGGTACGTCAGAAATAATGAAAATACTTGAGGGTACTTTTAATACAAATCGAACAAAAGGATTTATCTTTTGCCTTAAATAATTTCACTTTATCTTTTCTCTACACTTTAATGATATGACAATATCTTAAGTAGGACAGCAAATTTCATTACGGTATTTAACAAAAAAAAGAGATCCATCAATGCGAAATTCATTATAGCCTTTACAAATGTAATAATTCCCATACTATTCGAAGATTATATGTAGGCAATAAGGGGGACTTTATCCCACTTCTGATGTAGGAAGTATAATGGAGATAGTACAGAGACTAATTTTGTAGTTTGGAATAATAATTAATTATCCAACGAGTCGAGGATAAACTAGTAACTCAATACGACAAGCGCACCGTTCCACGTCAGAGCCAAGACTGTCTTAACGACGGCCGCTCCGTCCGTTTTATACAAGCAGGACGGGTGGCAAAACAGGTGCAATGCCGCAGGTGTGCGCTACACGTGTCGTTTACAAGAATTCTGTCTAGCCAGACCGACGCCACCGCACCTACAACGGTGCAGGTGCCGTCATGTATTTATTTAGTATCTGATACTAGGCCAAATAGCCTGATTAGCGTGCCGTTACGACTGATCAGTATAGGGCAGATAACAAATAGTAGAGTTAATTTTTTCTATAACGTTCCACTGCTGAGCACAAACTTCCTCTCATTACTTAGAGGGTTATCGAGCCGTAAGTCTTTGCGTCGATCGTGCGTCGACGGACTTAACATGTCCTGAAAATATTGGTGTATGCGCAGTAGTCTTACTAGTAAGACTAGGAATACCCCAAAATATTTTGTTTCAGACAGATTACGCCACGATGTTTTGTCACCGCCGAGCACTTGGTAAATCAGCACTTAAAATTGCAATTAATAGGTAGTTTCATCGGTGCCGACGGGGATCGAATTCGGGTTGCTAACGTTAAAAAGAAATTTACGGTGAGCGTTAGCTACAATATCAACATCGAATTCACGATTGGACCCGCTAGGTGGGGCTGTTGTCGAGATCCACCGTGCGAAGCCGGGTATAATCACTAGTTGTTAATATATTATACAAAATCTGAACCTTTTTACAGGTTGCCTATAATGGAGCAGTCGAAGCCGTTCAGACACTCCTCGGCGCCTTCGGTGCTTTATTGGCGTCGTACTTCGCTCGTGGCGTGCTCCCCGCTCCAATAATGACATTGCAAGGGGTGGCTGTATTTGTCGGCACTTACGTACCAATCGTGTTTGTGTCTTACATAGGCTATGTAATTATGGGAATGTTGTATCATTTTATTATCACACTGGCCAGGTAAGAACGTATGAAAAATATTGAACAACTAATTAGTTTTTTTTTTACTTATTATAGGTCAAGCACTGACCACAATCCCACCTGGTGGTAAGTGGTGATGCAGCCCTAGATGGTAAATCGCACTGTCTTAGCGTAACAAAAGCCTATTCACTCTTGACTTGAAGACGCCCAGATTGTATTCGGACGGAAAGATAGGCGCCGGCAAATTAATCCAATCCTTTGCTGTACGCATTACAACAGACGAAGCAAACAGTTTGCTTCTAATGCGTGGAATATCGACAACAAAGGGGTGAAGATCGATGGTGGAAAGGAGAGAGAGGAATCAAAGCGTGTAATTCCTGCGCACACTCACCGGAATGCATTCTATAGAATACGAGGGCGGCACTGAAAATTTCGGGAATCAAGGAAGTGACACAACATTACTATTTAAAAATGTATTTATTGCTTTTCGAAGTATTCTCTGCGAAATTTGACACATTTTTTCCATACGATGGAAACAATCATTGAAGCAACCATTCCATTCGGAAGTTGGGGTCTCCAAAATGGCCGTTTTGTAGGCGTCCACAGCTTCTGCAGGTGATGAAAATCTCTGTCCACGCAATTTATTCTTTATTTTAGGGAAAGTATAGAAATCATTAGTACTTAGGTCGGGGCTGTACGGCGGATGGTCTAATAATTCTATGTTTTCTTGCTCTAAAAACTCTTTTGTTGTGTGCGGTGTGAGAACTCGCATTGTCGTGATGTAGGATGATGCGGCGGTTGCAGTTCTCTTTACGGAGTTCAGAAACGACCTGTGGCAAACAAATGCTAGCATACCATTCTGCATTAACCGTTCTTTGTCCCTCAAGAGGAATAGTCGTAACATGGCCGGTTTTGAAGACAAACGTAGCCACCATTTTTTTTGCAACACTCCGTGAACGAACAATTTTTGTTGGCTTTAACTCATTTTCGAACACCCAAACCCGTGACTGGTTTTTTGTTTCGCGTTCGTACGCGTATATCCAGGATTCGTCACCTGATACGATGTTGTATACAGCATTTGAGGATCCTGCGTGGAATATTTCGAGAGTTCTGACGCACCAAGTAACGCGAGCCGCTTTTTGCTCTTCACAGAGCGAATGCGGTATCCATCGGGAAAACAACTTTTTTACACCTAATTGTTCATGCAAGATTATTTGTATTTGACTCATTCCAATGTCTAAAGCTGCCTGAAGTTCGCGGTATGTCACATGTCGATCTTCCTCAATCAGCTTACGCACAGCATCAACGTTTTCTTGGGTGACTGCAGTTTTTGGACGACCTTGACGGGGATCATCACTGAGCTTGACACGTCCACGTTGAAATTCAGCAAACCAGCGATAAATTGTGGTTTTGGATGGGGATTCATCACCAAATGCAGAAATCATCCGGTCAACACACTGTTTTTGTGTTAAACCACTTCGAAAGTCATAATAAATTATCGCTCTTGAATTTTCTCGAGTCAATTACATTTTCTCAACGACTAAACAAGTTTGACAAAACCTTGTGACAAGACCGAGAATCTTTTTTTAAATAAATAAGTGGTATTCGATTTTTAAAACCAAGGATTTTTCAATTAAAAAGATTTTAATATGACAGGAACAGTGGCAATATTCCATTCCCGATACTTTTAGTGCAGCCTATGTACCGAGAGACTGGCTACTCTGCGATATTCATCATTATCGTCATCATTACAGGCCTTCACGGTTTGAATGACTTACACTGCCACTACAGGGCACCACGTCACTACGTGGCTAAGAAGCTTATAGGCGACCTGAATCTGGTAAAAACCAGAATTACCACTCTCGAGCGCAGGTGCAAAGTAGCAAACCAATTGGCGTTTCGTGTTCAAGCTGTATCGAAAAGGCAGACCTTTAGTTAGCACACACGTTAAATGTTCATCGTGAATGACATACAAACACTTGCTCCGTGCGCCCTGGGCCCTGCATTGCCACTGTGACACCGACCGATCCGTCATACTTTAAATGTTATACTAATCTTTGTAATTAGACTAAAGAGCTAATCATTTGGGTACAAATTGACGTTTAACTAACGACCAAGCTGTCCCCATTAGCTAATTAAACCATTAAGTTGTGTCATGTTCATCTAAAAATAACCGCCAAAATTTTTCGGCATCCGTTAATAATACCACAAGATTTTTTGCCATAATCGTCGCCTTCGACACCCACGGGACAAAATGGGGTGATGTATTCTCCAACGCCCTACTGTACGATAACTGCGCTGTTGAGTGTGACTATATAGAATTAAAATAAAATAATAAAATTACTTATTAGATTTTTAAAAAATGGGTATTTTAATTTTCAGTGCAAAAATTGCCAGTCAGCTAAGTGACGAGAGCTGCTTCGGTTTGATATTTGGCATCAACACCTTAATAGGTACAGGACTGCAATCAATACTGACAGCGGTCCTTATACAAAGTGTGCAATCACATATTACTTCACAGTACTATGCTATCAGTGGACTGTTTCTCTTGGCGGCTTCATGTTGGCTCCTTGTCTGGATAGTGTATAATTTTAAACAGAAGAAAAGGATTCATATCAACAATCAGTATTAAGAATCATCTTATGTAAGCAGAAATTAAAACAAACTATAGTGACTATATAGATTAGTTGTAGAAAATGTGACTGAATTTTGATAATCTATAATATTTTTTGGATAATAAATAGAAAATAAGAATGTTTTTGTGTATAGTAAAGGAATGTAAGTTATTTTGGATAATGGAGGCAGCCTATTTCTTATTCTCAAGCCACCTAACAAAATAAGAACCTATCCTTATTTTAATCTCTTTCTATATTTCATAAGGCAATAGTTAATAAATAGGCTTTTGCTAATTCAGTGCGCTACATCACCACTTACCATCAGATGGGATTGTAGTTAAGCACTGGCTTAGAATAATATAAAAAAATAACCATTGTAGAACAGAACCATGTTGTGATTAGATTTTGGGAATGGCTTAACCCAAAATATTTATCTACTTCTTTGACATAAACTAAATATGAATTTATCGAATATAGTTTTTAATACTAGTGTGTCTATTGATATGGTAACTACTATTGTGTTATTAGAGATCAAGTGGAAATCCCAAATATATGACTGAAGGATCTAATACTGCAAACAAACCAAAGGACATCTGCAAACCCTTCTCTATATATTTCTTGTTGTATCTTTTACTATACTATATAGGATTATTTTTCAATAACTGGCCAAATTTGCAGAGGTTAAGAATAAGTAACATAGGCAAATAGTGAAGAAAAATTAATTTTAATAAATCTCAAATATTCTATCCTTTTTATCTTTTAAATTAATTATGCAGTATTTTAACTGATTTTACTGCACATTCGTAAGGGTCGATGGGTAGGCAAAAACGTTGTCTATAAATCACATTCTATTTGGGATGATTTCAAATAAAAGTAGAAGCCTTGTTTACTCGTATTTTCAAAAACTACAATAACAGTATATAATTATTTATATTATGTTGGGGAAAAAGCTTTTTCGTATTTTATATAGAAATTCAAGACATATTTTTTTTAGAGTTTACATTTAATTATAATATATATGTGCCATTTTGTTCGATAACTTGTTGCCATCTTGTACTTAGTGACATAATCCTGTTGCTATAAAAACCTTGGGATTTTTGATCAAAAATGCGCCGAGTAGTTTTAACAGTCCTCTCTTGATGTTCAGCTAACAATACCCAAAGCATTCTGAAGAGACAAACAGGTGAAAATCTGAGAGTGCAAGGTCAGGACTATATGGTGTGAATGAATTCATTAACACTTCTCAACCAAGCTCTCTCAATTTTTGCTGAGTGGCCAAAAATGTGTGTGTTGTGACGTTATCATGATGAAAGACCACTACTTTTCTTTTAAATAAAACTAATTATACGGATTTTATCGCGTATATTAACTTAATTTACATTCGCGACGTTTCAAGCACTTTACAGCACCCATGGTCACGGTAGGGACTGAGGTGTATGACGTCCCAATGTCATAGTTAACCACGGCTACCTTCAGATTAAAAATTAATAATTTTTAATTTAATTTTTATTATTAATTTAATTTAAATGTGTAGTGTTCGCGTAAATATAAGAAATCATTATGTGAACCACTCCCTTTCTGTTGATCAATTCTAGCCACTTTTTTTCAATTTTTTGCTTGAGTATCATTAGTTGTTGGCAGTAGAGATCCGAATCGATGGTTTTGCTCGGCTGTAAAAACTCATAATAATATATGCCTTTCCAATCTCACCATACACACAGCATCACCATATATGTTAATCTGGGTGTCGCTACAGTCTGTGGAGCTTGACTACCCATTGACTGATTGCATGTTCTTGTCGTAGGTGAACCACTTTTCTTCTCCAGTAATCCATCTTTTCAAAAATGGTTCACTTTCACTACGTTTCTATAGAGAATCGCAAATGAGTACATGATTTATTAGGTTTCTTTCAGTGAGCTCGTGTGGTACCCAATTCACATGGGTCAAAACTGTTTTGTGGTCAATCCTCAATTTGTCGGCTATGTCGTAACCAGGCCTCTGTCACTCTTACTACCAGCGTGATATAATTACCTACAATCGCGAGGCACCTCAGAGTTCTTCTAAGCGATTGAAATGTTAGTTTTTTAACGCTTACGTAAATAAATTTTTGTAAATACTTGTTGAAATACTCGTCAAAATAGTTTTTGTTAAGTGTTTAGTATATAAGATAGTTAAAAAAGTTTTAATGTAATTTAAGAATAATATATAATATGTATATTACCTATCTATTTCATAAATTGTATTGAGAAAACGTCGTTCCTACTATAATTGTTGTGGGGTTGGATGCTTAATGAGCAAACAAAAGGATTCAGATATATATCATTTTTTCACTTACCGAACGATAATGAAAGGTGAATTTATTTAATTTTTTTGTTAGATAGGTACTTATAACGAAAAAAGAATTAAGTAATAATTTAACTACAGAAGTAATACCTAAGTAATTTATTACAAAACTTAGTTGAAATTTACTTCACTACCCAAGTACCTACTTACATACCTATACTTCTCTTTTGTAATTAAAATATTTTAATAATAATTATGTAGGCTATTAAAAAGTCGGCAAGCAGTCAACATCAAAAGAGTGCAACTTCTATACGTAGTACTATTTTTTATTCTGTGTTGTAACTACTAATATGCCAATCTTGCTCCACTTTTTAAAAAATTGTATCGAATTTATCAGTATGCGAGCGACCAGAGCGAGCTGCATCTTTGACATTAAAATTCCCAGACTGAAAACGCTTGAACCAACGTTGTGCTACTCTTACTGACACTGCATTAGGTTCATAAACGTCTAAATATGTTTTTATAGCATGAGGGTGACAAATGAGCACACAGTCCACCTGGTAGTAAGTGAGTGCTGTGGCCCATAGACATCTATTTTATCCTCAATTAAGAATCAAAATACAGATACATTGTCACCCCTGAGAACTGAGGTGGAATGCCTTGTTTCCAGTAAAAAGGGTCTCCGAAACACAGCAGCATTAATCTGCTAACTACTGTCGAGCCGACCTATTCGTGCTGTAACCACAAAATTGCTGTAGCATGGCTCTACTACGCAAAAAGCACACGTTTTTTGCGGCTTGAGTCACATTTTTCCCTTTTTGTAATAAAACTTCAGAATGTATTGAATTTCTTCGTTAGATTCACTCATTTAGATGGACAAAAAAACAGTTGAAAAAATCTGTTTTTTACCTTTTTTTTTCTTGATGTCCTATATTATGTATTACCTTAAAACCAGCCATATACAAAAAGTACAACCAAAGACAAATTGAATACAAAAATAAAATACGAAAAAACTTATTCCCCAACCTATTTATTTAATCTTGAGTAAAATTTGCTACTCTTAGCAAAATAACCCTGTATGTATCTTAGCTGTAGCGTAAAATGGAACGCCTTAAAAGGCTCCTGGGCTAGATGGAACTCCTACTATTGTTTTTTTATTTTCAATAAATAATTGAGTGTAGGTTCTTAGTTTCCCTAAAATTTGGAAAAATTCCTTTGACATTCCCATTTACAAATCCGATTTTTATAAATGATTTAGTGGACGAAATTCAGAGTCAAAGCCTACATCATGCTGACAATATGAAGATATACCATGTAATCAATGATGTGAATAACACTCCCCAACAGGGATTAATGAAAGTATTGGTAATGTTAATGGAGTGACTGCATAGTGAATGAAGATTGATAGACAATGTGTAATTAAGTCCCAAATTACCCCAAGAACCAAATAAAGAGGTTTTGTGTACATTATTTTTATTATAATGTATATATTTTTATTATAAATTATATGTATTGTGGATGTTGTAAGGGGCGACAGAGTGAAATGAAACAAGATGGCCGGCAGCATCCCCTTGAAAACAATCTAATTTAAAAAAAATACCTGTTTGGCAGGCAAGCGTGGCAAATAGCCCCTATATGAGGCGATACATGGGAGAGGCCTATGTTCAGCTGTAAACATTTGAGTCTGTAATGTATTTATTTTAATGAATATCATAATCATAAATCAACTTCAAATGTTCCATTTATACAATATAATTTGCAAGAAAAATATGCAATAGAGAAGACAAAAAATATTGAAGAATTTATCATATACCATTTTGTATTCATGGCTGTGCTTTTAGTTTACCTTATTTATAGAACTAAAGGATATTGCTTACATTTATATCATGGGAATATTTTTTTTCAAATACTTGTGATTTTATTTGAAGCAGTTTATTAAAAGTGTATTTTATTCATATTAAATACATTTTTTTCAACATTGTAGATTTATTTATTATATTTTCAACACAATATAATATATTAAATAAATACAGCATAAATTTGTATATGTCATAATAAATACTCTTTTCACCATGAAATGCTCAAAAATAAAATTGAACACAATGTAGCTAACCTTGTAACAAAAATTTAATCATCATATTCATAAAAAACATTTTCATTATAACATATAAACTACATTCTGACTTTTTGCAGTGAGCACAATTACAACATAAATATAAGATAATGTACCCATATTCTTGAGCTACTTAATATTTACATTTGATATGAATATAATGGAGATATATCCGAGATAATTTCTATTTTCACAGTTTGTTAAATTTTCAGGCAGAAAATAGAAATTGCAGTTCAATCACAACCGTCAGGATCAAATATATAATTTATAATCCAATAATAATTATATTTATTTACACATGTAAAGTACCTTAAATTAAACCATTAGTTACGCGTACTGCATAGAGGACGGTCTCGTTTTGAGGTAAACGTACGTACAAATTAGTAGGAAAATAACTGCAAAAGTCGGCAAAACTATCGTATAAATTTGCTGGCGCATTTTCGCAAATTCTTGTTTCCTCTCTCGTTTCTGTTTTGCAGTTTCTTTTACCGCCCCTTTCAGCTTCCTCATTTTAACTAAAACAAGATTCGTAGAATGTTGTATTTCTTTCAATCTACGTTCTTTTAACTTATTCTATGTAGAGAAAAACTTTAAAATGAAAAGAATAAAATCACTTTACCG